GGCAGATTTACGACTGACCAGGCCCAGAGGTTGAGTTTGTGAGGAACACTGCAGACCACCTTCACTAACCCCCCTCCAACTCTCCATGACCTTTACCAACAGGCTCGAGGAGGACAAGGCCAACTGTCTGTAAGCATCACCAGGAGAGAATGAGTTATATAGTTTTTGTCAGGAGCTGCTTTTCTGCAAGTTAGTAAATGTTCAAGGCTGTTTTATTTCACACAGTATGAAGTTTGGATAGTTAATTTCAAACCCACCTCCACTGTTGGATCAGTACTTGTATAAACATACCCTTCAAATTCCACAGCATGCATGGCCTGAAAAGACAACAACTCCTTCCTTGTATGAAATTAAGCTTTGATCACACAAAATTACTGGTTAGGAGTTATTTCTTACTGTATGTTTGCTGTTTCATTGCAGGCCAGTTTCTTTCAGTGACCTGTGAGGCACATGGAGGGGACCCCCCGAAAAACCTGTCCCTCAACTATTTCATTAGAATTCATTGTATCCAAAAAATGTATTTGTTGTTTTGAGGTCACAGTGTCTTCACACCAATCGATTAGTGCAGGAAGGGCTTTAATATCCAATTTAGCATCAAAACAGACTGAAGGTTGGAATCAAATTTCCCCTTTATCCACATGGTTCGTGTTTTTGCACATTTACAAGATGGGGGTCCAAAACTCTGAGACATGTCTGCAGTATTATGGTGCCACTATGCAAAATCAGCAGGTCAACATGGGAACTGACTACTGTTGTTATTATCCATGCATCTGTGAATAAATCATTGTATAGGGTAGGAAAGTGAAAGAGGAGGAAGTGGTTTGGGAACAACTCACTCCTCAGTGGGAGGAGGACGGGCAGGGGACCACTCGGTCAGAAACACCTTGACTCTAGAGCAACTTTTAAAAATGAGAATTCACAGAAAAGATAATTCTACCCCTGGCTGGAAACATTAAGGAGAATACAATCTGGAAACCTAACCAACTTGAACCAGCCACAGAGATATTCCTGATAAACTCACAAATTCGTATGTTTTCTGAGTTGCGTAACCCAACAGTATCAACTTTGCTTCTGCCGCGGTCAGTCTCTCTTCATGCCCTGAAGAAATGTTTCCAGAATCAGATTTCCCCCAGATAAGTCCGTGACCGCAGGCAATGTGATAAACAACATCAAACTGTGGAGCAGTGGGTGATGGTATAATGTTCCTATGTGACTTTCCTGCTGCCTTGGCTGGCACTGACTCTGTGTGTATGCTGCTCCCTTTGGATATCATGATCTCATCGCTGTGTGACTGAGTCCCCCCTCTGATCTGATGGGTGTGTTGGAGGGTATTTTTGATGGGGCCCTTCCCCAAGCGCTCACTCATAGAGGAGTGGTGGGCCATTTGATATCTGATACAAGAGCACGAAGCAAAGCCTCATTGACAGCCCATTAAGGAAGCTGTTTAATGCTCACAATACATACCTGGCTTATATTGAGTGGGGATGCCGTCAATAAAACAGAGTGTCATTTGCTTGTTTGGTGGTGTTAGCCTTTAAAATCATTAATCCCAATCAAACAAATGTATGTATTGTTGGGGTTAACATGGTTTTGTACAGGTATAGATAAAGTTTGACAACTCCCATGAGAGTCTGGAGAATCCTGACATCTTTTCACAAGAGTCTGGTGACCGAATGAAGAGGAGGGGCTGCTTTTCTAAATTCATGAGAAGTTTTTATTCATCTGCTACATGCTCACATGTCTGTGTCTGCTACTCTGAAAATCCCTTTTGGATTGGACACACAACGAACATCTTACTGTACGCTGAGTGAAGTTTCCAGGAGATAAGTTGCTGGGAAGTGGGAGAACTTGCCGCTGTAATGTGAGGAACTCGATACAGGCAACTTAATGTTCATTTGAGGTCAAAGTACCGTAAGGACTTTGACAAAGCTCTCTGTTCGTCTTTTCAAGAGTTTTGATTGCGACGAAAATGTGGAACACTTTCTTAATCCCCAGGGAATTAAAGAAATATGTATTTAGGGGCTCAAACAATCGGCCAGCGAGTGCACCTCCCGATAAACACTAAACGGTTGAGGAGTTACAGCCCTGAAAGGAAAATAAGATTGAGATGGAATGAATGCCTCAACTGTGGCTGAAGTGTGTGTGTGTGTGTGTGTGTGTGTGTGTGTGTGTGTGTGTGTGTGTGTGTGTGAGTTTATGTCTATATCTCTGTGTGCGACTGTGTGTATAAACGAGAGTAGACACTATTTGAGAAAAGGGTTTAGTCCACAAAAGCTTCACACAAAGGCAGTTCTGCAGCTGGGCAATGTGTGTGTGTGTGTGCATGCGTGTGCATATGTGTGTGTTTTTCAGGGATCTGGAGCTTTACATGAGGAAATATCGACCACTTTTTCCTCTCTTGCATGATTCATTCTCTGGTTCATGGATAACATCTAAACGTCGTATGTGAACATTTTTAACACTTGCACCACTTTTTGAGCCGTGGATTAGTTGATTCCCATGAAGACCTGTGCAGCTGAGTTCACATGTAGTTCGGTCGGTTTAGGCTGCAGGGATTTGCAGGAGATGTGGTTCCCACCTTTCTAAAAACCGGCTCGTTAAGTCTGGTCGTCAGTGTCTGACACAGAAAGAAACACGTGAAAGTACACAATGTGATTTGAAAAAAAAAATGGTTTTACAAACTAATTTAGAAGAGAATACTTAAGATTTCAAAAGACTTCCCGGCATGTTATCAACCATATTTACTGTAGTGGTGCATTGAGTGGCCTCAGAATAAAATAGTTTTCCACAATATGACTAAACTGTTGGCACAAGTAAGCAAAATAATGTGCAATATTCACGTATGTAAAAATTACAAAGTCATCCAAACTATATAATAACCTTTTTTCATGTGAGAAGGTTGTTCCCAAAGGCTCAAAGGTTTTCGGTTTGAAAACCTAAAACTGTGAATCAATTTTTTGAATGTAATTTGGCAATACAACACGGATGCTTTAAAAAAACATTTAATGTCCTTGATAACTGCAAGGCACAGGATGATCGGATCACATGACCACAGCGAGGAAACAGTGCTTTGCGTTCCGCGCAAAATCTGATCACTTTTATTGGCTGACGAAATTTCTGATAGAGGTTGAGCTGGGTGTCAGCTTTCCACTCATCCTTTGGGGTCACTTGATCGGCCGGGTTGTGAAGTTCTGTGAGGTCTGACCCAAGTGTCACTATGTGAGGGAAAATGTGACGGGTTTGTGTCACTTGTGTGTTGTGAATGATCTGTGTGTTAATTCACATGGAGACGTGGTGTCAAGGGAAAAATGATCGTGTTTAAGAGCTGGTGCAAAGTCTTGTAAACTTGTGTGTGTGTGTGTGTGTGAGCGTGAGCGTGTCATTCACTCTGTAACAGATCTTGTTTGTCTTCCCGTCTCTCAGTTCCTCTTCGTAAATGTGCTGATCTCAAGTATATGGCTGCCATTAAAAAAAAGAAAGATTCATTTCATTTTATTTTAATTAATCATTTCCAATATTACTCTGTTCAGTTTTTTGTGTAACAAATCTCAGATATTGCGCCCATTTCATGTCCACTGGGATCAGTATGATTTATTTAAACAGCTCATTTTGTTTGACCAGCAAAGCTCAAATATATTCAATTGATAATGTTATTAAAAAAAGAAAATACACTTACAATCAAAAAACGTGCAGTATATTAACCTATGCTGCACCTAAAAGTATTATATTAAGGGGAAGCCTTGTTGTCTATTTGTTTAAGGAATCCCACCGTATACTGGAAGGTGTGTAAATGATGTGCGTATGAGTGGTATGTGAATGCATATTTGATTATAGATATGTTTGATTAAATAAAGAAAGAAATGTTCAATATTCAGCAAATTTACAATATGGAAGTAACATCCTCCTGTATTGCACCTCAGAAATCGTATACGTATAGTTGTGTGTACATGTCTATTTGTGTGTTATCCAGTTTAGCCTTTAAACTAGAGGTTTAGCTTTTTGGAAAGAGGGTGAAAGAGGCCACATGACCGTTGCCTTCTCCTGTAACTGGAGACTGTGCTCGGAGGGAGGGAACAAGCCCAAGATTTACTGTGGGCGTAAAGGCATATTCCATAAACATTGACACACACACCAGCTGCCTGGCAGCCTCACCAGACTCGGCCCCCTTTGGTCACTTGCCTGTGCCGTGTCTGTCCTGATTCCGGTCTGAGGATCGCATGGCTGCAGTCTCCACCTGCTCTGCCAATGTGACCTGTCTGTCAGCGGTGGCAGCCTACACACGCACACACACACACACACACACACACACACACACACACACACACACACACACACACGCACACAGTGTGCAGTGACTGATGCAAGCTCTCAAACACAGATGTATAAACTTGGCAATATACTTATACTAGCAGTTTTCTGCGATGACACACTTGACAGCCTTGACTCTTGACATTGGGCACATGCGTTTGCACATGCATTTATATGTGCATGCAAGCACGTGCACACACAGGCATATTTTGAGAAGTTAATTTAGCTAATGATACAGCGTCTTTAGTGACCTCAGTGCACAATTATTTGCACAAATATGTGCACACAAATATACAGTGCATATACATTTCCTCATTCCTCAGTCTTGTGCTCTCTGGTTTGGCTGGGTGTAAGGTGCAGGCTCACTAACTCAATAATTAGCCTTGGTAAACATTTTAATTCCTCCACACTTAGAACATGCTCCTGATTAACCCGCTGACACTTTCAGTTCAAGTTCACTATGGCTAAATTAAAAACAACATATACTTATGTTAATTAAAAATACTCCAACATGAAAATTAAATATGAAAGTAAATTATTAAAAAACTGAAATACCTGTTTAAAATGAGACAATTGTAAAATTCAGTATATTTCTATATTTCTCAATATTAGTTATTTGTGAGTTTGAAGATGGCTTAAAGCTCAGGAAAATGTCCAGTGAGTAAACTTTGCTTTTTTCTTGACTCTTACAGGACGAAATGAGTTGATTGCACGCTATATCAAACTTCGTACGGGGAAGACGAGGACCAGGAAGCAGGTGAGTTCTCTGCAAATCCCCTGTGAATCAGCCCCTATTTTTGAACTCCTCCATAAAGTTCTACCCTGCTGAGTGATGCCCCAACACCCTGCTATACCCTCGTCACTTCTCACTCCCATTTGGCTCGGAGGCCTGGACATGACGATTGATTTAGAGCCAGGGCCCAATGCACAGATGCTATAGGATCAAGTGTCGGTGTTATTTCTTCACCACCTCATGGATCTGGTGCTTGTTAGAAGGTGAAAGAAGCTGGGGAATACGGTGATCTGGATGGGAGACCGAGGTGGGACGCCCAGGGGATTTGGAACTCTATCCTCCCTATGGTATCTGAGATGGAGTGATGTATGGGCAATGATTGATGTGGAGAGAAAGTGTCCGTGCTAAGTGATCTGGCAGATTCCATTTAGGAAATAAAAAGAAATGAGAAGTGGGGGGCAGCGAGGGATCAGATCTGGGTAGTGGTACAGGTCAGCAGTACAAGAGACACCGACAACAGTGGACTGACAGTGCAGCTTGTTGAGAGGGTTCATCACTATGGTGCTGTGATGTGGTAAAATGTCTATATTCTTAAAGAGCTTTCGAGTCTTCACCAGTCTAAGCACTTCAGTTTAGTTTTGCCATTCACCCAGTCACATACACATTCATACAGTGCAGCTATATTCAGCACTTTCTGTACCACACATCAATCATACACCCCTGGCATAGCTGTCAGGAGACATTTGGGGTTCAGCCACAGCCACCCTGATAGAGACAGAAGTTGTGTGGAAAGATTTATTTTACATTTAAAGGAAAATGAAAAATATGATATACATATTCCCACTGGTCAGTTCAGAGTCTTCAATAATTTTTTTTAGACCGTGCATGGAAACTCCTAAAGGAAATCCATGCAAACCCACAGAGTTTCAGCCACGCAGCTAGAAGGGTTAGTTACTTGTAGCCATTTTTTGCGGTGAGGCAATGGTGCTAACCAGAAAGCCGCCAAGATGCAACGTTAAACTCCATGTTAAACTCCATCACCGCCATGTTGTCTATATGTCTTCCAGGTGTCCAGTCACATCCAAGTCCTGGCCCGACGGAAGGCCAGAGAGATCCAGGTGAAGCTGAAGGTACGCTACGTGAGTCAAACATGCTTTTTCTATATTAAATGAATGCTTTGAAAGATATAAATGATTGGAGGAAAATTAAGAAGTGCTAAAATCATGTCATCACTTTAACAACAGATATAGGCGCTTTTAGAGAGTGTATGCCTCCGCCAAGGTTAACACCCTATCTCGCTATATTAAACAAAGTTCAAAATAAAATGTCTCGATCCGGCTGTTCCAGATTCCCTCATATATATATATAAATATATACCCTTCCACCATATTTGTGGAAATCAGTTGATATGTATTGTTGTATTATTATTGCACTATTTTTTATCACTGCAGGATTCCTACCAACATCTGGCGCAAAGGGACTGCTGATGAAAATTAGCCTGTCAGCTAACTTGGTGGCATTTACATTTGTATGAATGTTGATTAATGTACATTCTCTCATTACAAATAAAGAATGTATTAATTAAAAACATTTGAAGTGTTTGTGTAACCTTGTTCAACATAAATCAGATACAAAAATGCAGATGAAAGCATAGCCTTGGCGGAGGTAAACAAATCTGAGAACCATGAATACTTCTCCATAGATATGGTAACATAGTTTTTCTCTTAATAATAATATGTTGCATCTTTCAGGGTTTTAGATCAGAATCAAACCATGTTGCCTGCATTTGACTGTGGTTATTATCATGATTTTAATCCAGTTCAGCAGCAGAAATGTTGAAAACATTCTAACTCTATATTATCTCCTCTCATAATGAAGTTTGGTGTTTGGTTTAAGGTATTTCAACATCCATGGCCCCTGCTCTGCCATGTATTCACATTCCATTAACACAAAGGCACAAGCCACAGGCTGTTTTAATTGCACTCTCTAATTGACGCTAGTTTTAAATGGCATGCTTATACATTATGATGAAATGTGAACGTTTCTCCGGCAGCCCGGGGCTTACTGTGCACAATCACGAACAAGACGAACCAAACACAATTGTTAGGGAACAAATTAATCCCTGCATTATTCCTTCCAGGTATTACGTGTGTGGTAAGTAAAGCAATAAAAGTTTTTCCTGTGTAGTACGCTGAGAGCTTACACATCCCTATCCCCCCAGTACTTTCTCAGTTTACATTGCTCATCCGCATACCCGCAGACAAGAGGACTCTCCCTCACCTTGGACGGTGGCCAGGAGGGTTCAGCTGGCAGAGGCCTGCATTGGTCACAGGGTTTGCCCCCTCCTGTCAAGGGCCTTTTTAAATACATCTTTGGTGTAACTGAGATCCCTGCCACATGTACCCCCCATATTTCAGCTATGCCCTTGTGTTAGCCGGTTCTGGGAAGAAGAATGCTCCGTGTGGCCTTGCCCATTAGGGCCGCGGGGCTGCAAGTGCTTGTTGTCCTCTGTGGTTTGGAAACTGCTGAAGGAGTGGATTCAAAAACAAGAGCCGTATCACTTTACAGCAAAGAACAGGAGAGACAGTTTTCTAGCTCTCACCTGTTTTCAACTATTTTTGATGGCATTGACATTGAGCAGCTTCGATTATGATGAGCATATTAACACATCACCCCTGTTGCCTGCCTCGTCTTCCGATATGACCTCCAACAGAAGCTAGTTGTCATCACCGGCTTGCCCTTGCCAAAGCAATAAACTTAACTTTTGACCCAAAGGCCCTTGACTGTAATATCACCTTCTCTCCATCTCTCTGCCTGGCAGGGATTCACCGATGATGCAAGCTGGCCTCGGCCCTCCGTTTCCCCTTTTAGGGCTCGGCTTGCGTTGCTGGTAAAGAGGGGCGCTGTCTGGAGTCTAATGAGTGTTCTCTTTGCACAATCGTCTGTTTGTCTCACTCCCGTTTGTCTTGTCGCTCTCTGTAGGACCAGGCGGCCAAAGACAAGGCCCTGCAGAGTATGGCCACCATGTCCTCAGCCCAGATCATCTCACCCACGGCCTTCCAGAACAAGATGGCTCTCCAGGGCCTGGCTAGGTCACCGTATCCAACTACCGGTGGGGTGAGTCCCTAACCAGTCCATCCAACACATTATTCAGCTTAAAGTGAAATGCTGAGCAGTGGCCACATTTATATAAAAAAAAACTTTTGAGTCCCCAAAATCTTGGGTCTCAATGCCACAGATCATTTCCCTGGATGTTTGTTTAATTTCATGACCTCTATCCCTCTTCATACATTCAGTTTGTCTAGATTTGTACATTATCATAACATTTTTTACACTATCATAACATTTTTACATTATCATAACATTACTTGTTTATCATATTTCTTTTTCATCAATAAAATATTATGTTTCTGACCATCAGTCTCAACTTCCAGCAAATTTGTAGGCCAACAGAGTTACCTCAAGTAGTTGTTTCTCTTTTCCTTTTTTAAATCCTAGTTACCTATTTGATCCTATTTAGAATTATGAACTTGGGGTTCGGCCCCAAATGATTAACCACTGAACAATTTCTGTAAGGTGCATTAAAATACTAAACAACATTTTTCCCTCTTTGAAACAGTTAAACACAGTTAATTTAAGTCATACTTCTTAGAGTTCAATCACAGACAGTCTAATACAGTTTAACAGACCCATTAAAAAAAACTACAATAACCTATGTATGCAGCAGTTTAATTTGTGTAGTCAAAGGATGGAAGTCATAACTTGTAATGTCAAGAGTTTTATTTTTGCTGCATCTGTGGTCTCCCTATGATTTTGCTCGCCATAGAAACACTTTAACTGTGTGTGCAGGAATGGGTGAATGAAACTGGCTCTGTAAATAGTTTTGAGTGGCCATTAAGACTGGAGCAGTCCTTTATAAATGCAATCCATTAACCATTCACCATTTATTTTGAAATCCTCACAGTATAAACTATAGCACAACTGTTAAATGAGTAAAGTGAGTAATATATTTGCACTTTATTTTATTTCCCTCCAGTTTTGGCACGGGGCACTTCCAGGACAGCCGGGAGGCCATGAAGAGTGAGTAGACATTCCTTCGTCCTCTGACCTGCTGCAGTATCCATCAGTCACTCTTCATGTGATCAGCTTAATAACCATTAGATATGTTTCACTCAGGACATGAATCTCAGAGCAAATTACAACATATCAGTGCAATTATAAAGAAAAGTCTTCAGCTGTCTGACTCCCAGCATACCTCTCTGCCCGCTGCATCTTTAGAGGTCAAGCAGTCCAATTAGTATGTGAGATGGGGTCACGAGGGCGAGACAGTGCATAACATGCCTCTCCCTCTTGTCTGTCTCGTCTCCCCAGCATTAAGCCCTTCTCCCAGCAGAGTTACGCCATGCAAGCGTCCGGCCCGGCCCCCATAACAGGTGGGTGCTTTCCCCCCCGCCCCAGCTGTGTTGACAGAAGGCTGTCATGCCGGCCAAAGTGATGAGGCGACACGGCTCGTGAGGAAGCGCTCCCTCAGAGCTCAGAGAAATAGCTGTGATATCACTGCATTTTCAAGTTTTTCTCCATCACAGTGAAACCACACATTTACACAGTCGCTGCCCTCTGGTTTGCAGGTTATGAAAGCACAGCGGGGCTCTCCATGTCTCCCAGTGGCCCTCCTTGGCAGGGTAGAAGTATTGCCAGCTCTAAGCTGCGGATGCTGGAGTTCTCAGCCTTCCTGGAACAACCTCAGGACCCAGAGAATGTGAGTAGACAAGACTGGGAAGTAACTTTGTCTTAGCAAAACTCCAAAAGGGTTTTTTCCCCCACCCCACAAAAAAAAAAGATTTTCTATTTTATTTAATTAAATTATTTTCTACTACAACAAAGTCCTTGCGCCTGTCCGTTTTACTGAGAGGTTGACAAAACTCCAATGAAGCTTTACTAATCAAAAATCTATTGATTTGTATTTTCTTTTTTACTTTAGATAGCTTTTATACCTAATTCTAAATTACATCCTGGAGCTGGATGCAGTGTAATTTCATTCTACTTTGCACTTGTCTTGTGCATCGTCTGAATGAATAAAGTAACAATAATAATAATAACTTTATTTATATAGCACTTATCTAAACAAGGTTTCATAGTGCTTCACACAAAAGTATTGTGAATGTTAAATTCAGTCTAGATAATGAAATGTTTTAAATATGTTGTCTAGAGTCATTTTGCTGTCACAGGCACAGATGTTTGCACAGAGGTGTATGATATAAAACAGAGAAACTGAGAAAGCTAGTAGTTGGGGAGAGCTGTGATTCAAAAAATCAAGATTCACAGTCACAGTTGTATTATACAATAAAATCTCTTGAGAAATAAAAAAAAAATCTTGGATAGATTTCATTAAAGGGTATGACAGCAACTCAAGGCATCACATGATAAACTCTATTAAATCATCGATATACTCGCACACGACTCAACTAAACAGGACATCACATGTTCATGAATGGTGTGCAGAAAAGCAGGCCCATTGTGACACATGTCCTCCATTGCACACTGTCACTGCACTTGGCGTTATTGTTAATATAGTATACTGGACATTTGATATTTTTTGGCTCGGCTCATTTCCAAATATTCACATTTGTCTTTCCAGTTCAACAAGCACCTGTTTGTGCACATCGGCCAGTCCAACCCGAGCTACAGCGACTCTTATCTGGAGTCAGTGGATGTCAGGCAGATCTTCGACAAGTTTCCTGAGAAGAAAGGAGGCCTGAAGGAGCTGTTTGACAAAGGGCCACACAACGCTTTCTTTCTCGTCAAGTTCTGGGTAAAGTCCATATTAAATTGTAAATAATAATAATTGTAAATATTCAATCCATATTCAATCAATTCCTTTCATCCAATTTCAACACTTCAATTAATTTTTAACTTCAAATCTATTTCTATTGTACAGTTCGGCCTGGTGCATGTTTCATACACCATCAGAGCATATAATCCTCTCCATTCATGAGGGTGAGGTGAGAGTACAGTGAATGCTCTTGTTAATGTTTTGTAGCACCTGTTGGCTGTAAATGGCCAAACAGGGTTAACAGTGTCGAGTTGGCTTAAGCACCAGAGTTCAAGAAACTTAACGGTACAGTCTGTAGAATTTTGTGATATCTAGTGTTGAAATTGCATGTTGCAGCTGAATACCCCTTATTTCACCCTCCCCTTCCAAACATGAAAAAGAACCTGTGTGCGCGCATGTGTGCGTGTGTGTGTGTGTGTGTGTGTGTGTGTGTGTGTGTGTGTGTGTGTGTGTGTGTGTAGCAGCAGCCTTGGGGGAGAGTGGCAGGCCTGATCTTTCACTTGGGGAAATGTGAGCCTAGACACCTGTCCCTGCACTATTAGACTGAGTCCAACCCTCATGTCCCCCTCCCCTCAGTTTACTTATTTATAGATAAGCCCCCCACCCAACCCACAGAACACACACAGACACACATCACCATAACACACTGAGAGAGATGAGAGAATGAAGCATGATGGCAAAGACCACCTAATATGCAGACAGATAAGAAGGAACCGAAAATGCAAGTTGAGACCGAAAAAAGATTTGGAGGGAGAAAGAGAGGGAGACATGGGGGCGGATGTCATGGGGGTGTGATTGAGCACATCTGCTTTGTTCATTTTTCTGATCTGGCCACCGTCCCTTACCTCAGGAACTTTGGTATTTGTATCATGCCCGACATGTACACGGTTACATATCTGCCCTATTCTTTACAACCCTCGACACGCATGTGAAATGAATAAGATGTAAACAGTCCTGATTTTATGAAGAGGCCACATCATCTACGGCCAATGTGTAGCACATCATTCAGAGTTGTAGCGGAAGTAGAGAGAGTTTAAGTACAATTCCTTACAAACTCCTGACTTCCTAATCGTAACTCACATGTCTGATTATTCAATAGAGATATAATATGTAAGGATTCCTCATTGAAATTAATCAGTCAGTCAATCAAGTGTTATAACATTCTAGATTCATGAGGCAGTGTCCAACATAAATAGAGAGGAGTATCAAAAGGAATGTCTGACAGAGATAAAGGGAGCAGCAATGCCAATTGTAATGACAGTTATTGCAGTGATAGTAGTATATGTAGTATAGTCAGTCAAATTGCATATCTAGTTATAATATAACTATCAGCTGCCGCCCTGATCCACGGTGTGGCTGCACTAGATATTTTGTTGGCTTAGTGCACTTACTTGATCCAGAATGTTTCGAAAATCAAACCCTGAGAAATTCCCAATTTTATTCAAAGAAATAAAAGTTTCACTTAGGTCATCGTGCAACTGCGTCATTTCTACTTTACCTCTGGCGTGGTCAGTCTCTGGTATAACTTCTGGGCAAAAGACATATGACACACTGTTAGTCAGTTTGCCAGTCGGCTTCCTTCCACTGTTTGTATTGGTCACTCTTAATGGATCGTGATTATTCATTGCCCTTTGCTGCGTGTTCTCTCACCAAAGCTCTCTAAAGCGCAAATGCACAAGGATCCCAAGAAATGGTGGTTAAGACAACAACTCCCATGATTCCATGCTGCTTCAAGATGTCATCAATCTTAGAGACCTACAAGCCTTTTCATCTTTTTAACCACAAAGGGCATGAGCCGTGTGCAGCATCTCACATTCATGAATGTCTTGTTTTATGAGAGGTTATCTCAGGACAAGAATCATGCCTATCATCCTCTTTGTGCACTACAACCCCCTCTCCAGCACTGAGGCACTGACAGGGTTGTTCCAGTTGCACTGAGACATCCATGAGCCATGGACATCCACCTCAAGGGGGTGAGCTGTTCTCACCAGAGAGAGTTGTAAACAGCTGTCCTGCTGGTAATGTTTAGTGAACAGATGAGCATCCACCTGCCGCAGCAGTCCACACCTTCCACCCCCTGAAGGGGAGCAGTCTCCACTTTCATCATGAGGGATCACCTGCAGATATTTCAGACCTTCAGAAGTGGTTTTGATCCTTCACCGTTCTGGAGATTGAGCGATAATCCCGTAGGCACACGGTGCTGGTAGAACATGATGACCATTATTCTCTGATCCACTTAATCAAAATTTGTGTTCAGGCAACTGGTACAAAACAGATCTATAATATAACTGTGCCAAAGACTGTGAATGTCAACTTCACGGTGCTGTTGTGCGACCTCATGCCACCAGATGGTTTTTGTGTGTATGGCATTACTCTTCACTCATGTTGGCTGCTACATTATTTATTGTGCAAAGATAAAAGACATTGGTGAGTGACACTATATTCCAAGTAATCTTCTCCAGTCCTTGGATGGAGCAGCTGGTTTAGCCATGGCATTTGATTCAGGGGTGAGAGGAAGGAGGGGACGAGCCGCCCTGCCATATATCATAAAGAAAAAGAGAGCAGGACCTCAATGAGGCGATAGAAATAGGGACACAGACAGTGTGAACAAGAGATAGTGATGGCTGAAGAAACGGTGGGTGGCATGTAACCAACAAGTCATTCATCAGAAATAGTACCCTCTTGATTCATGTCAGAGCCTGGTGGAGTCAACAGTTATGACATATGCAGCTCTGCATTAGATGAAAACAAACTCATAATACTGTCCCCTCATAGTCTGTTCATCTTACCGTACCCCAAGGGGATCCTCCACTTCTTAAGGCATCCATGACAAAACACAGAAATGCTGCAAAACAGCTGGAGATTTCCACAGCCACACTGGGAAAAAAAAACTGCAAAGATGCCCTCGGCCATGAAAATAAGCAAAATGAAATCCTCGACACATCCAAATATACGCTAACCTTGTTTGCGCCATTGTAAAAGACAGGAAGAGCCTGTTTGATGTTGCCGCAGTGGCACAGCCACGTGGCAGGTCATCACTCGGGGGTGTGCTGAGGCGCAGGTTGGCATGGTGACGGTGACAGGCGGCTGGTCCGCTTCCAAAGCTATGGCATATTAGATTGAATTTCCAGCAAACCCCCCTGTCGGCCGCTGGCTGCCCTGTCCCTCGTCCCACTTTCCTCCTCACCCCCTCAGCGCCCGTGGCCCTGTCCTAACGGATTGTCTCACGCCTTTGAAGTGCAGAGGGAATCCGATTTAAGCTGCCTCTGCTAAATTGTTACACAGCCGGGCTGCCCGCTGTGATCTAATCAGCCAATTGCACACTGATGATTGTAATTGGATGAATTCCCTCGCAGGCTGTTAGGGAAGCAGGGAATGGTGGTTCGGGGAGGGTCACTAGGCCCCAGGGATGAAGACAAATAGAGGAATTACATGAGCTGGGGATGAAGATGAACGGCTGATGAAGAGATGAGAGCAGGCTGAGCGGTGTCTCAATGGCCCATTAGGTGACAAGGGCCTGACAGGGGAAAAGGTAAAACAGCCCAGCTGTTGACAGTCGACACCTCTGTCGTATCCAAAATCAGATTATACTTATACCCTCAATTCAAACTTGAACCAGAGGAAGGATCAGAGATGAACCCGCTTCCACCTGAGGATGCAGAAACTCAGATTTGTCCGCCTTTTGACTTGGACACTAAGGATTTTAAGCTTTTCAATATCATGTATACAATATTTATATAAGTAACTTTGGCTCCAACTACGAGCAACTTTGATCTCCAAAAATTTCCAGTCCAGAGGGTTATGAATCTGCTGGATTCTAATAAAGCAGTTAACACAGCGTCCATCCATCTGCCTGTCCATTCATACATTTAGACATTCATGCATCCATTCATTAATTCATCCATTCATTAATTCATCTATCCGTCCATTCATCCATACATTCATTCATACATTCATTCATCCATCCATCCGTCTGTCCATTCATCCATCAATCCATCCATACTGCTTATCCTTGGAGAGACTTTGCTCCAATAGGAGCTTTGCTGTCACCAATCCCAGCTGACATTTGCGTGAGAGGAGTGCTACACCCAGGAAAAGTCGCCAGTCACTTGAATGCACCATAGAACTCAAAGCTCAAAATCATCTTTCCACAAAACACACACTCACACAAAGAGATACACAACTCCTTGGGAATTCTCAGGCTGGATTTGCCAGAGTTACAGTGGGTCAAGAAGGATCTGTACTTTGGATGCCTCTTGGCTTTACAGAGAGTCACTCTCAAGCTTTGTTGAGCTGTAACACTCTTAGTGTTGCATCATTTTCAGACCCACACATGTATCTTTATATCCATATCTGTGAGTAGAGTAGTAGGATCTGATATTTTGTTGTAGATTATGGATCTGGAACTGTATATCCTTTTGGCTGCTCAATGTAGGGCAGCACAAAGTGAGTTTAAGGAGGTTAAAGGAGGTCCTCATGAGAAGAGCAGTAAATCCTCACACATACTCATACACCACCAGGATGCCTGACTAATCATGGTTCCTTTTAGGTCGGACTGACAGGTGTATGTGACGTGTTGTGTGTATCTCCTCTCCAGGCGGATCTTAGTGTAAACCTGCAGGATGACAGCAGCTTCTTCTATGGCGTGTCCAGCCAGTACGAGAGCTCAGAGAACATGATTATCACCTCATCCACCAAAGTCTGCTCCTTTGGCAAGCAGGTGGTGGAGAAAGTGGAGGTAAGACAAAGGATATTGTCAAGAACAATTTCATTTTATAAACTAGAGCATGTTGTTTGTTGGTTGGCAGGATTACATCATCAATTCCCACCACACTTGGTGAAGGGAGAGGGCCTGGGCTTGGGAAGAACCCAATGCATTTTGGTGCTGATGTAGATTCAGTGTAGATTCAGAAATTTTCTTTGCTTTGTTTGACTTTGCTTTGGGACAAACTAGAATGGCACTCAGTAGAACACATACCTCTGCCAAGGTCCAACTGTCCCCTTAAATGAAAACAAGCCTCATACCTAAGAACACTTTGTATTTCCCATTTTGATGGCATGAACTAATTGAAACCCGCCCCCTAAATATGCACGAATCTTTGACATTTTTAAAAAATGACTTATTTCATATGTTAAAGAAAGTGGGATATAAAATAAGGAAGGAACAGATTCTTCCCGGTTCATCCCTGACCCATTCCACATCCTTCCACCAAGTTTCATGGTAATCCACCCACTCGTTTTTATTTCATTTATAGGATTTTAACTTTGTGCACATTTTGTTACAAACCCAATGTTTAGAGAAAGCAGAGTTCCTACAATCATAGGCAGTAGCCTCTACAGCACATCTGGCTACAATTCAAACTGTTTGCATCACAGATTTCTCAACGTTATCCCCACAGGAGTGAATAACTGCTGCTGGTGGAGATGGATTCCGGTCATTTACCACTGATACTTTGTCAGGAAAATGACATGATTCACAAATCTCTCCTGCATGACTAAATGTTGTGCTTTCCCCTTAACTAGACACAATGGTGGCTCTGCCCCCACCTACTGCTGATAGATTGTACAATATAAACACACACACATCCCTACGTACAGCCATCTGCCTCAGTGAGCCACATGATGATATTTAATGGCTTCATCATTTGATTACGGTTGTCACGAGAAATATGTTTATTGTCATATCTGGCATGCCATATGCTGCATTAGGTATATTATATTACACATATTGCAGCTTATCCCATATATGTTCATATCCTGTGTGTCCAATTGAGTTTCAGTAGATGTATCCTTGTTTTTATGATTTTTACTTCACAAAGATTTCACATTTTATCCTTTAATGTGATTTAAATTCTCCATCTGTATGGTTTATGTTGTCTTTTATCTGTTATATATATCTCTGTATTCATCATATCTGTTTCTATAGACGGAGTACGCACGCTTTGAGAATGGACGCTACATGTTTCGAATCCACCGTTCCCCGTTGTGTGAATACATGATCAACTTCATTCACAAGCTTAAACACCTGCCAGAGAAGTACATGATGAACAGTGTACTGGAGAACTTCACTATCCTACAGGTACACACAACAGTCAGGGATGTACAGTACACAGTGTGTGTATATTGTAAGTTTAGGTCTGTATTATATCATCCCATTTGTTATTGGTTTTAACCATAGACTGTATATAAAGACTGATGAAATGACAGCTTCCTAAAAGTGAAGCCAAAATATCTCGATTGCCATCTGGTGGCTGGCTGCAGTATCGGTCATTTAACCCATCTAACCCATTAGTAAATGGGACATGGACAAAACTTAAAAGTCAAAGTACATCTGAGATAAGATGATTTATGTTATTTTAGGTAGGTCTTATAACACTGACGTATGTTTAGGTGCTAATTTTTGAAATAAATTTGGTTTTAACGTGTGCTGGTTCTTTCTCTCAGATTCGAGAGTTGTTTTACAGTATCTTACTGTTTTAATGGATTTGAAGCAGAGAAACAGTTCAGTACTTAATGAATCTGGTTGTGATGTTTCCTTTGTGTAACCACGACAGACCATTAAGAACTGTGTCTTTGCCTGTGAGCAGCGAGCACTGTTTCAGGATTTTTTTGTCTGTCGTAAATTGGCCTTTTTCTGAATGAGCTGCTGCTCCTCGGAGAGCGGACAGAGAGAGGGAAATGAATAGAGTGGAGTGTATCACCATAGTAACAAAGACACCAGGGTTCAAAGGCAATGGTGCCCCCTTTGCATTGGCGGCTGCATTCCTACTGGCCGAGGGACAATGACCATATTGAGCCCACACTGACGACTACATGGCAACATGACATCAGGTTTTTCAATGGGCGGATTTAGCTCATATTAACCATGAACCGCTCACACACAGATGTGCACACACACACACACACACACACACNACACACACACACACACACACACACACACAGAGACAACAGATGCATGCACACAGATTCCACACTGCAAGGCTGAATACAAGAGTTGTATTCAGGGCAGCACAATTGAGCATAATGAATTTATGACTGTTTGTCTATTGTTTGTGTGTGTTGCCACATCCCTCTTGAGTTTGAAACACAAACTACTCTTGTATATAGTAGTATAACAGAGGGGGGGGGATCATGTGTCTTTCATTAATTTATGTGTGTTGTATTATGTTTTGTTTTACTTAATATTTCTATCTTCCACATCAGTGTTACATTTTAACCATCCTTCAATCATGTTTTATAATTGTTTGTATTGGGAGGTCACGTACATAATTCATGTTGTGAGTGAGTGTGTCAGACATGTAACTATATTCACACTGCGATTGTTCAAAAGGAACAATTATCATAAAAGTAAAGGATCATGGGAGAAAAGAGCTGCTTTTAAAGAAGTCAACATTTTATGTTTGACAAGATAAAGTAGAACCACATGCTGATCTCATTCGATTTTAATGAAGTTAACATACTGTAATTTCTTTAAAGGCATGTGAACATAATTCATTGAAGTAATGCTTCCATTGGGAAGAAAATGGCTCTACTAATATCACACATAGAGGTTAACAGTGCAACTAGGATGGTTCTAAATCCGGGGCCATTAGGGGGGCCACAATTTACACTGAGTGGCCGATTATATTTCCAACATCTATATAGGATTCCTGATTCAGTGAGGTGCTCATTCCTTGCTTCCTGTTGGCTCTCTAGCTTTGAGCAAAGACACACATCACTGAATCTATTTTGAAAAGGTTCTTGTTCAAACACATTGTTTACTTAAAAAAGCTCAGAAAGTAAATGTATTTAACATATTGTCATATTTATTGTTAGTGTTGTTAGTAAGTGAAAAAGACAGTGTGTTTTAATTCATTTTATGTTCTGTAAAGGAACGGTTATTATTTTAAACTAATGTGGTGGACTAGTGTAAGTTACTTATGTTACTCTATTTGACTGACTGAGTACTGAGTGTGTATGAAATATAAAGAAGGGGTCTCCATAAGTCCACACTTCATTCCTACTCCTCTCAGACATAAAATATACTTCAGTTGTTGTCATTGTTTTTGATTTCATGGTCATCATGTTGGATGGAGAGTTGATTTTCATCAGTCTTATGATGTTTTGGATGCACAACACATATTTCAGTGGAACCGTGGAAACATGAAATTGATATCAGTAGTAATGTTGCTGTATGTGTGTAGAAATTGTGGGTAGATTCAGGTCAGGGGAGGTTTTTGTATCCTGACATGACTGACCAGGATCTTGTGTTGTGTCCACAGGTGGTGACAAACAGGGACACACTGGAGACCCTGCTGTGCGTAGCCTATGTCTTTGAGGTGTCCACAAGTGAGCACGGCGCACAGCATCACATTTACAGGCTAGTGAAAGACTGACAAAGTCGCACAGTTGGACCTTACCTGAGACAGACCCACTGTAGCACCTCAGTGAGCAACAACACTAAACAATGGACTATACTTCCTCCGTGAGCTTACAGAGCTGAAACCTTACAACTCGGTCAGGAGCCCAGAGAAGCGCCGGCTTTTGTCGGCGTGCCCAGCAACACGACCTCTGCTGAGGAAGACGTGGGATTTGAGACTGTGGAAGCTGAAACAGGATTTGTGTGAGAAAAGTGACAAGAGCAAAATAAACAGAAGAGGACCATGATACACTGTGGTCTCTGTGCCAGAGGAGCCAAACCTACAGCCAACAAGACCTGCATGAGAGAGTTGTCATAGGTGGTGTTTTTCATCTCATCGTATTAGTGCTTGTTTTTTGATTTTAGATTCTTTTACACACGTGCATGTGCAAGAAGGTGTTCTACAGAGGAGTCCGGCTGCCTCAGGATGCCACCTAGTGACTTAAATATGAATAACAATGGGGAAAAGATATGAAATTAAACCGAGAATCCCTCCTTTGCACATCCATAAAAACGGCACTGTTGTTTTGGTGCCAATCTTTTGAGTTATTTGAGCGTTTGAGTAATTATGTACAGTGCCACATCCATCTCCTCTACACAGAGTTATGAAAAGAAGAGGCTAAAAAAAGATTTAAAAGAGCTATTGTATTCACTTTGTTTGATGTTTAATGTTCTATGTTTCTTGTATTGTCTTACTGTTTTTGATTGAGAGCTATCTGACTACAACACAAGGCACATAATAACACTGCTAACTTGAACCAGACCTGGATCTGTAAACTGAAGTCGTCTGTGACTGTAACTTGCCCTGAAGTGTCAGATATAAAATACAAGTGTTTCTTACGTAACTTCTTCCTGTTGCTGAGTTTTTGAATTATGTGAAAACTGTTGCCAGACACATGCAAACCTACAGATCATTCAATTCAATCATGTGCAGAATGTTTATTAATATACATTTATTTGATATAACCTGTGAACATCTCAGAGCAAAGCTTTAATGTTTCATCAGGTTTTATCACTTAGGTTACAGATCAGCTAATGATCACATAATAAGTCAAGTATTAATAATGCTTGGGAGGAGACTAATGTAAAAGGGACATATCAGTGTTCATACAGGATCTGCAGTCACAAGTGTGGTGTTGCTGGGGATATGTTTCCCACAATGCAATGCACAGAGGAAATAGATCAGCTGCAAAAGATTCCAACTAATTGTGGATGTTGGTGATGCAGCTCAGAGAGGACGTCCAACAAGTAGCAGGAAACAGGTATGTAGTTGTCCCCTCTGTTGATGATTCTTGAGAAAACCAGTTGATTATTAGAAACACAATGTCTGAAAATAGTTTGTTTTTAATCACTCAATAAACTTTCTACAGTCTTGAAATCTTACATTCAATTTTCAGATTGTCTAATTCTATAGAAATTCCACACATTTTACAAATAAACAAAGTAAACCTTACTTATGTAATCATTAAGTTTAATTGGTTGGTGTTGTAAAGCTGCAGATTGATGCCTGTGTATGCATGTTACGTGATTGTTTAGTGGAAGTGGCCATTGCCATCTGGTGGTTATTAGACAGAATTACACTTTTCTTATGCACATCAACTTGGCAGTGAAACAGTGAAACTCCTCAGGCTGAGACAAGTAACAGAACATTGAGGACACGAAAACTACTTTGTGTTCTTGGTCTAGTTTAGATGTAATCCACCTACGGCTGCTTCAAACCAAAGATTTCCCACAGCTATAGTGACAAAAACATTCCAACTGGGAAATATGGCAGATTTTCCTTCAAGTCTGCTGCTGGATATTAGTCTCATGATAAAGCTGCTGCATATACATAAAGACCAATTAGCAATTTTAATAACCTTTGGTAGTAAAATCTAAGAATATCCACCACAAAGAGGGAATATATTATATTAATCTAACACAAATAAGTATATTTTGCTGTCAACTAAAGATGATGAAATGCTATGATATCCTCTCAGTTTGAATATCAGTACAAATCATTTCATTATACACCTTTCACTCCATAAGCTCTTTATCCCAAAAAGGTCCTGTGAAATCCCAGGTGGAAACTGAGAACGCGACACTGTTAGGGAGAGATTAGCTCACAAAGAGAGAGAGAAACGGCCCGGCAGAGGAAGCAAATCCAAAAGCAGGGTGCAGACGGCTTATTGTGATAATCCCATTTGAAAGAATTCAGGCAGATTGCTACAATTATGGCAATCCACTCTCAGATGTCTGACCTCGCTGAACACAGACAGGTTGTTTTTCCCCCCCACAGAGAACAGATGTTACAGGTATTTATAGACTAGTTTCCTACTGAAACTGGAGCAAATTTTACTCCACAGTGTAATGAAGCAAAGTTTAACTGTGGAGGTTCATTGAAACAGCATCAACAGGATCTTCACAGGTCTAAATGATGATTGGGTTGGATGTTGGTGCTGCACAGCTACAGGAGGTTTACGGTGTGGAACTTTAAACGACATTTTCAATTAAAACTAAAAAAACTAGTTTCTTCTCAATTGATTAAGTTTTTGGAGATGTGCATTTATGTTTCAATGACTCATGAGTGAGATCGTGTAACGTGATCAACTCTACAAAGATTAGATTTCTTGCAGTGGAGTATTTTAGCCAATAGTGTGTAAGGTGTATCTGTTGTTATATCCAGCCCAGTGACTCTATATAAAGACTGTAGTACTTAGGAAATCCTATACACCTGCTAATTCAGGCAATTATCTGCTAATCCATGAAACAAATCATGCAGATACAGATCAGCAGCTTCAGTTTATGTTCACATCAAACAAGAGAATGGGATTTTAGTGACATTGACTCTGGTGTGATTGTTGTCAGACAGGCTGCTGTGAGTATTTCTCAAACTGTCGATGTCCTGGATTTTCACGCACAACAGAATCTGTTGTGTTTTGACTCAGAATGGTGTGGGGAAAAAGATGGAAATGCCTCCTTGAGTCAGGGGAGAATAGAATGATCAAACTGGTTGGAGGTGACAGAACTAATATATTATGGTGACTCGAATAACAACTGCCAGGGGCACAAATTCTCCAGAACTGGTCTGATGAATGCTGATACTGAGTTACACACACGTCAGAGTCAGAATTTGACATCAACATCACAAAGTTATGGACCCAATAACAAATTTATTGTGTCAAGATAATATTAACTGATACATATGCATGATAAATGCACTGTGTCACAAAACAAAACGTGTAGTCTCAAACTGGTTTCCTAATCATAACGGTGAGTTCAACAAACTTCAGTAGATCCTATCTCACAAGATCTAATGCACCTTTGGGATGTGGTACAACAGGAGGTTGACATCAGGAATGTGCAGCTGACAAATCTGCAAAAACTTAAATCTGTGATACAAACATGGAGCAGAATCCCAGAGCAATAAAGTGCGCACTGCTGCAGCGTGGACACTTTACGCACGGCTGAGTCTCCTCCTCCAGGTGCGTAACCGTGACTCACCTACAGAGGAACTGGTTCCAGTAACACCAGCCCACTGGGTCCACTTTACCCCAGCACCTAACCAGCCTCCCAAACATGTCGATGTCCTGTTCACATTGTCATCTAACATGGTGTGACTTACATCACGCGCAATGAATGTCGCATGGGGCTTGCTGACGGTTTTGAGTGTGGTGTGCCACACGGAGTCGAGGTGCTCGCCGACGTCTTATTATAAAAACTGCTGGATCCGACGCTACCCGGGTATTTTCATCGACATCGAGGAGTCTCAGCGCAGAGGAGCGCAGCTGCTGGAGCACTACCAGGAGGAGACTGCGCTCAAATGCAGCCGCACCTGTTGCCTCACCAGAAACTGTGAGTAACATTGGTATCATTCCCCCTTTCCCCTCATTTGTAACTGTATTCATCCGCCTCACACTCTTCCCGCCGTGATGAGCATCTGTCCTCCCGCAGTTTCCTGTAATCTGGCCATATTCCACTATGACACTTCTCATGAAAACGTGAACTGCTTCCACCTGCACTGTCCCACACTGGAGAGCTGCATCCTCAGTCACAGAGGCAACGTTGTTCTGTACAATGTCACTAAAGGTGAGTGAGTGTGGCTCCAACGCTGAGTTTGTTCAAATGTAGTCCGTTTATACAGTTTATAATCTATTTTAGAACTCTTCAGCCCATGTGCATGTAGACTAAAACCAGTGCTGATAAAGACTCCAGAAGTTTGATAGTTTTTACCATAAGATACTAATTCTGCTCTAACACAACCTGCAGATCAGCAGTAGAAGAAAGTAATTATAATACATTTAATGGGGAACTTAAGAAGTATTTTGAACTACTAGTATATTCCCATTATCTGCCACTTTATATGTCTCTTCCACTTGATTTTAGATGGAAATACGTTACTTTCTTATTCTGCTCTAATTATGTAAGAGCAGTTATTTTTTACTTTGAAGATTCAATTTTTTTACACAAAGTTTGCTCATCCTTTAAAATGTAAGTTAAAACTCCAATCGATCAAGCAAACTTTATTTATAGAAACTTTCAAACAAATCCGATGCAATTCAGAGTGATTCACAGGTGATGACCAAACTTTATTAAAAAAGTGAAGAGTTAAATACTGAGCGTTAGAGACCAATAAATGCCAATACTAATGGAAAAGGCATCTTTAAGGAGGTTAACATAAAATATATAAAATAAAAACTTTGAACCAAAATTTGAACTACTACATAAAAACATTATATACTGGTGCAGCACTCATTATGGTCAATTACTGTGTGCATGCATATACATTTACCTCTGATATTTACTTTATAAGTACATTTTTCTACAAATACTTGTTATGTAAGATCTTAACTGTAGTATTTTTGTGTGTGACATTATATATAAGTAAGGATGTGAATACTTTTTTAACCCCTCTGATCCACTAAAACTGCTGATAGTAATTGTTTTTAAAATGTATGTATAAACCTCTTCATGTCTCAGGGGTGGATCCTGACCTGCTGGTGTTTGGAAAGTACTTCACCTCCAATGTGCGTGTGTTGCCGCACCACTACAGTCGAGCCAACGTCTCTGAACCCCTGCCCTCAGACAAACGCCAGTTCATACATCCGCCCCCGCCCGCTGCCCTTCCTCTGACGTCTGCACCGACCAGTGCACTGCCCACCACAGCACGCAGAGAGCTCACCACCGCTGCAGCCACCACGCTGCGGAGCACCAGTCAGGCTACAGTAGTTCCAGCAACAACAACCACACCGTCCTCCACTGCACCTGCTCCTATAACAGTCCAGCAGAACCATGCACAAACAACAGCCCCAACCACCTCCACCAATTCTCCTGCACCCAGCTATACTGCACCTCCTCCATCCATGACAGATGCTACCCTCGGCCATCACAGTCCCGAGAAGACTTCAATCTTTTCAACCACTACTGTGCAGCCCTCTACATCCGCCCCTACCCAGCATCACACCACCATCTCCTCCCAGTCAGCGACCAGTCCTCCAACCGCCACAGGCCTTATGGGCAACACAGAGAGCAGCAAGCAATACCCCAATGACACCAAGGGCCCCCTGGGGAAGAACCACACTGCAGGCGGTGATGGAGACCAGGGAGTCAGCGGAGAGGACACCTTGGAGGAGTTGGGACCTGGGTGGCACGTAGCTGCTCACACCTTACTGGTCGCGGTGGCCATCTGCATCACAGTGCTGCTGAGCTGCTGCTGCTCCATCCTGCTGGTGGTGAGCTGGAGGGCTCACAGAAGGAGGATGGGGCGCTATCGGACGTCATGGAGAGGGAGGAGAGGCTCCATGCGCCTGATTAAGTACGTGCTGGTCAGAGAGAGTTCCTGAGAGAGGAGAGCTGACTGTTTTGTTTACAGTAAAGTGTTAAACGAATCGATCCAGGAAAAGACATTTGATATGTTACATTTTTACTATTACTTTTGTTGTAAAAATTGTTTTTTGCATACTTGATTATTTAAAAAAAACAATGAAAGCTTTATTTTCAGCAGATAGAGATGGAAATGTAGTTGCAGTAATTTGATGCAGTGAGGCTGTAATAATGTGTATTTAAACTGAACTGGCATGTAGTTTATGGCTAAGATTACTAAAAACACAGTTGTCATGATGTGGGGGTTTCACTTTTTAACCAAGTGACGCAAATTCAGCCGATGTATTCTACCACAGCAATTTGCCCGAAGAAAGATGATATGATGCACATTTGGCTGACCTATATTTCGATGTACTTCAGTGAGTTTAAACTGCTCATGATGCCAAACCCTCGAGGACGT